CCCCCCCAAACCCAAAAAAAGAACACAAAGACAGAGAAAAGAGTGCAGTATAATTTACACAAAACAAATCATGAATCTACACGTGCCTCCAGATTGACTTGCATGCAAATGCAGTCCTAAATAGTATTAACATAATCATCATAAGAGCAATACAAGGCATGAGCACATTTTGATGAGGGACAGAAAGAAGGAAGCACAGTTCATTAAGACTGTGAGATGACTAGCATAATGGAATCTCCCCAGCTGGAAGTCATTAATACAGTTGTTCAAGGTTAAAAAAAATATTCCGGTCCACCAAAAATTAAAATACCTATACAAGTTTTGGATATTTTCTTATGCCAAGCTCATAGCCCCTCCTACTTTCTATTTGATCAGTAGCTAAAAGCTTCATTAATAAGGTCACCAAAAACTCTTTTTCTTCTCACTAACTGAATAGTAATCAAGATACCAATTAACGAACTTCTGTAACCCCATCTGCAAATCTGTAGTAGGCTTATATCCAAATTCCTTGTGAGCATAGCTAATATTAGCATGAGTAAACATCACATCCCCATTTCTTGGCAGTGGCAAAACATTCTTTTTAGCCTTTACCTTAAGCAACTTCTCCAATATACTAACCAGCTTAGTAACTGGCACAGGTGAAGTATTCCCCAAATTGAACACTCTCAATTGCGCATTTCCCTTCTTCTTCCCACCACTTCCTGTACTCTTCTCAGCTGTATCCAGTGCCCCTAAACACCCTTTCACTATATCATCAATGTAAGTAAAATCCCTTGCTACACTTTTATTATTAGAACCTTCAAACACATTAATACTCTTTCCCTTTAATATATCCTTTGTGAAAAAGAAATACGCCATATCAGGCCGACCCCAAGGTCCATAAACAGTGAAGAATCTCAACCCTGTAATTGAAAGACCATAGATATGGTTATAAGTATGAGCAATCTCTTCACCAGCTTTCTTTGTCGCGGCGTAAAGACTCGCTGGTTGATCCGTTCGATCTTTTTCTGAAAAGGGTACTTTAGAGTTAAGTCCATAAACAGAACTGGACGATGCCCAAACAATTGCAGGCTGTGGATTAGCTGATTTACAGGCCTCGAAAACGCTAACGAGACCTGCAATATTACTATGGATATAAGAACCAGGATTCTTCATAGCGTAACGAACGCCAGCTTGTGCAGCTAAGTGCATTACGTGAGTAAAAGCAACAACGTCAAAAAGCTTCTCGAGTAAATGCCTGTCATTAATATCACCTTCAATAACAAAAATCCCATTACGTTCTAACAATTTCTGACGAGCTCTTTTCAATGAGGGATCGTAATAGCTGTTGAAATTGTCCAGGCCGACGACGCCGTCGCCACGCCGTTTGAGGGCGGCGGAAACGTGGGACCCGACGAAACCGGCAGCACCGGTGACAAGGACGGTAAAATGACCGGAACGAGAACGGGCAGAGGATTTGACACGTTTTTCCCATTGTGGGCTGCCCCATTTCATCTTGGGGTGGATAGATGGGGAATCAGAAGGAGGAGAGTGGAAACATACGAAAAGAATGGTACCTGCAAAAAGTGTGGTCCAGAAAATAAGCTTGGTGAATGAATAAGTCCATCTACTACGGTGTTTGTCCATTGTTTAATGGATTGATTGCTAAATTGGCAGTAAAAATCTACAATCTACAACAACGGAAAATGATTGTTGATGATAATAATAAAGATTCATTCTCTTTGAACATGGGGGAAAATTCTTGACTCGAAAAATTAGAGCTGAAGTGGGAGTATCAATGGTGGTGTTTTGAAGAAAATGGGTTTGTTGCTTATCTAAAGAGCTATAACGTTGGATTGGATATATACGTCTTCTTGAAAACCGGGTCTGAGATATGAAAAAAGGATAACAGAGAGAGAGAGAGAAAGAAGGGGGGAGGAATCTGGGATAAAGAAGGAATAGAGGGATGAGTGTGCAAAAGGTTTCTGTAAATGTGGGGGCAAAGAAAAGAATAAGATGGAGAGAGAGAGAAACAGCCGTTAGGGGAAGAGATTGGACGGAAGTCGGAGACCGTACATTATATGGGAGATGGAGATGAGAGTATCGTCACAGCTTTTCTCAGCATATTGGCTCTAATCGGTTTACCCTTGTCCCTTTCATCACTATTTGCTCAAGTACTTTTTAATCGTTACAAGTTTCACGAAAGAAAAAGGATTATTTTTCTCCCAAAACTTTCATTTGTAGATCTTTGCCCGACTAACTTTCTGAACATTTTAATTTTTTCCCCTAAAGTGCTAAATTTATTTATTATTTATTTTTTGGATGACATTCCGCAAGAATTAATCTTGCACTCTTTTTTCTTATAGCTTGTTCTTTGACGGCCAAAAGTCCTTTTTTTCCTTAACGGCCAAAACTGCTTCATCACAACTTCTCTTTGATATAAAATGTGTTTCTTCCAAGTTTGTGTGGTATAAAATTTATTTTAAGTTGACCGTGTATATAAGTTAAAAATGTTGTATACTGCTTTTATGTAATGCATTTTGATTGGACACAAAATTCAAAAAATAAATAAATAAATTAAAATTTATGAGCCAAAATAAGTCATACATACTTGGTATTTCCTCGTGAAGGATAAAATGAAAGTTAAAATTAAATTACTTCAGTTCAGTTGAAGTTAGCTAGATTATTTTCACTTGATAGCAATATGCTAGGAGTAAGCACTGAGGTGATCAATGAGTGTAATCATTTCTTGTGTTATGCTTAATTTTATCTATCCAAGCTTTCCCAATTCTTTTCTTAAGTATTCGTATCTTGCAATGCTATAACTAAAGCAATTTTGTGATTTAATGTAAGAAAATGATTTTTGACAGTAAGTTGTGGAGATCAAGAATTAGAGTAGAAGATTAGTAGGTCGTAGAGCTGTCTTCCTGTCATTACTAGTAATTTTAGTATTACTCTTATTTTTGTCTTATTCTTGAATGTCTATCACTATCAGATGTTGCTTCTGCTTCGATTTTGTCACTATTTCAATGTTATTACTTCATTTTCATGACTCTTTCATTACTATATCTTTTTTGCTTTAATGTTGCACTATGCTAGTGTGAGTCGGAAGTATATCGGAAATAACCTATCTATTTGCACAAGGTAAGAATAAGATAGTGTACGGAGATTTGTGCTGATGGACAATGTTGGACTAGGGAGATAAGGTGTTTTTTTCGTTTTGGAAATTATTTAATGTGTAATTAAGTGTTAGTAGTGGTGCGTGTTGAAGAGAATATCATTCCTAGACCATTAGTTAAGTTGTGAAGAATTTTCCAATGGGGAGGAAGGACAAAGGCCGTTGCTAATGTGGAAGTATGCTCCTTTCAACGGTCACCTGATGAAGTCTTCTTTTTGGATGAAAAGAGTCAATACTTATCCAAACAACATATCCACTGAAGATGCCTATCATTAGTTAGTTGATGACCCAGAACTCTACTGTATCACGCCAACGTCAAGTATTCCAAATTCTTTTAGAATTAACACAAACTTTTAACTCGTCTCTACTTTGATTTGATTGTAGAACCCCTTACTGAACCATTCACTGAAATATTACGTGCTTGGCCGATAAAAATTAATCAAATCAGCATGTGAGGGAGGAGTGTATTGAAGACAAAATGTGTTTTCTCATAATTTAAGTTTTTAAAATAAAATGCTTACACACTTTAAAATAAGTAAATTACTTGTGATGCACAAGGTTTTAGTAAATTTTTTTCCTGCAAAGTCTCGCTAAGTATTCGGCTAAAGTATATTATAAGAGAAATTTTTAGATTCATCTTTTTTTTCAATTAAAAAATATACACAGAGCACACATCACTCTGTATTTATCATCATAGGACCTATGAAATTATGACTCATATTAATTGTTAGTTGACAAACTGACATATTATTGTGGTTGGAGCTCAAATTGTGGTTGGAATACTTACTTTGTAAGATTTGGATGGTAAAAATTAGATTAGAATGGTAACTAACCTTCGTTGAACAGACATAAAAAAGTGGATATAACTTTTGAATCTGATTTTTGTAAGAGATCTAGCGTGGGTGTTGTTTAGACCTATTAAAAATGTTAAAATAGCGTGGGTCTAGTCAGTTTTCGGACCGATCATTTAAAAATAGCCAGCGTTTACCAAGTCAATAAAAAATAGCCACTATTTTACTGCAACAGAGACCGGTCCAGCATAATATACTGGAGTTCGGTGCACCTGTGTATGAACTTCCAGCATATTATGCTGGACCGGTATACTTTGCTGGCTCAAGTATAATATACTGGAGTTCGGTGCACCTGTGTATGAACTTCCAGCATATTATGCTGGACCGGTATACTTTGCTGGCTCAAGTATAATATACTGGAGTATTTTTCCGGATTTTGAACAGTATTTTCATTCAGATTTATTTTTACATGAAAAGTGGCTAAATTTCGATTACTTTTGAAACTGTGGCTGACCATTTGTAAATCGTAAAAATTGCACGGTGCGTCCTATTTGGTCGCCCCCATTTAACCTATACCTATTTTTTAAAAAACTTTTAACTTGTACCTACCTTTTAAATAACTTCAACCTCATTTCTCCTCCTCCTCCTCCTCCTCCTCCTTCTTCTTCTTCTGCTTCTTCTTCTTCTTCTTCTTTCTTCTGCTGCTGTTGGTGTTGCTATGGAACATTAGTTCATGGGATGATTGCCATAAATATATTTATCAGATTATTTAAAAATAAATTATAAATAATTACGTAAGTTAGTAATATGTTTTCCCAAGTTACCCTTGCTTCAACTGGCATTAGGGCATTCATGTTTCTTTTTATTTGGTTCTTAGCCAAAACCTGATACCAGTCGTGAATGCAAATCCAGTTCCGTTGCTTCCTTTGTTTTCAATAACTGGCACGTATTGTCAAAATTGAAAATGTCGGATACTTGAGCAACCACTAACTGAGCAAATAGCAACATCTAATGTAGGTTTTGAAGTGTAGGCTACAAGATGAGTTTTTCTACTACATGATGTGTGAGTAAAAACTTTCTGAGGGCTAAATTTACAAATGAACTCAATAACTTCAGCCAGCTCTAGAGCTGAAGTTCGCCAGTTACAAAAACAAAAATTTCAGCTCTAGAGCTGAAGTTCACCAGTTACAAAACAAAAACTTGAGCTCTAGAGTTGAACTTCAGACCCGACTACTAGAATGCTGAAGTTTTGCGTGATTGCCTTTGCTACTTCAGCCCTGTATGCTGAAGTTATGCGAAAAAACGAGTACACTTGCAATTGTTTTTGCAAAGCGGGCACAAGTTAAAACGTGACACAAAAAACGGGTATAGATGCAAATACCCCTTGTAAATCTGGTTATTTTTGAATTTCTCCCATTAAAAATATTCTAATTAATGAGGTTGTCTACAAAATTTAAAGTCAATTGGTGAAGATTTGGATTGGTTTTGGATAGGTTGTAATTGAAAATCACATAAGAAATTCGTAAGTACAGCTAGCGACGTTTATACATTTTTGTACAAGGTTTTATATATTTTATGCACTATTATAAATATTTATAAAAGGTAGATACATTGATTATATAGGTACATAAATAATATATACAGTGTATAAATATTATTGCAAGAAAATATTGGTTATGCAAGTATAAACTGAAAAATATGATTATTAGGTGCAACGTATTGTATTGGACGTTATATTTTTAAGAAGATCCCCAATAATAATGGAGCCGAATTTGTCGTAGGAGCCAGGAGGAGAGGCAAAGGAAGTGGTTGACCCAAAATCCGTTAAAGGTCGTAATAGCGTCGGATATCACTGTCAAACAAGCCAACACTAAATAGTTAATTAAATTCTCATTTTAATATTTTATTGAAATTATAAATTTCCTTCAACTTAACTAATAAAAAGGCAAACTTTGCAGAATAGTAATAATATTTTCCAATTTCAATACTGAGTATCCCATAATTCTCCCAGAATCCGATGTCACAAGTACATGAATATTTACTAGAAAATAAAATAAAATACAATAACTGCCCGGAATATAAATTTGGACAGAAAAGAAAAATACAAGTGCTTTGAAGGAGACTTTGCTGGTTGCGAATCGTCTCATAGGATGCAACTCCCCTAAGTCCCCGTATCAACTACGCCACTGCGCCCTCAAGGCCACTAGACATACATGTGCCTAATGTACAGCAAGTGTAGTATGAGTACGAAAACAACGCATACCCAGAAAGTATCCAGTCTAATCTTGAAGAACTAGTGACGAGAGGTCGACTCCGACACTTACTATGGCCAACAATAATATACCGATAATATGATAAATTATGGATTTTATAAGGCAACTGTAAACTCAATAACATGAAGTAGGTAAATAATTCTTTTGTTAATAGGAGATTTCTAAATTTATTTTCATCTTTTAACAATTTATATCTCCGGCCAGTGAAGCCACATCAATTATCAATAATTCCAAAACAATCAATTAAGTCATGCGCAAATTATGCCGAGGTCATACGACTCGATCCAACATAATATTAAACTGTGCACTGCCGAAGGGTTAAACGGCGCGAACCATAGATGCATCTATTTAATCTGCTGAGGCGTGCGGCCCGTTCCACAAAAGATAAATACATTCAAACAACCAAATCAAGGATTTATTTAGGTTTGATGTTCAAAGAAATATCAATTCTCTTTAACGGTCAAGTAACCCATCCAAAACCCAAGTAGGTGAAGTTTAACCTTTTGAAATTCCTTTATCAAGTTTCAATATATTTTAAATGGTTAACTTAACAAGTAGGATGCAAGAATCACAAATATAACGTGATTTGGGTCCTAGACTACCCAGACATAAGCAATATAGTAGCTACGCACGGACTCTCGTCACCTCGTGTGTACGCAACCCTCACAAATAGAAGCACATATTGAATTATTTCACCTATAGGATAAATTCCCTCTTACAAGGTTAGGAAGGAGACTTACCTCACTCCGAAGTTCCATATTCGGCTCCCAAGCCCTTCCGACGACTCAAACCGATGCTCAATGCTCCAAGACTAGTCAATAATTGTGCAAACCCATAAATATATACTCAAATACTCATTATAATCTAATTTATAACAAGTTCTAATCCCAATCAAAAAGTCGAAAATCACCCTCGGTCCCACGTGCCCGGATTCCAAAAATTTTCGAAGACAAATATTACCCATAACATCATGAACTCAAATATATAATTTATTCTCAATTCCATGCCCAAATTCGTGATCAAAATCTAAAAATACTATTTTTTTTAGGTTTTCTACCAAAATCCCAAATTTTCACTAACATTTCATGAATTTCCATATTAAAATCTATATATAATCCAAGTATTTAACTTGCAATAGGTGGAATCACTTACCTTGACATGGATGATAAAGATGGAGCTCCAAAATCGCTCATAGGTTGTCTCCCATGGAGGAAATGAGATGAAATGAGCCAAACCTATTTTTGCAAACTTATACACTGCCAGGCAACCCTTCTTCGCATTCACGGGCCTCCCATCGCGTTCGTGATGAATAAAATTCTCAAAAGCCATTTCCAAACTCTTCTCAGACAGCTTCTAGTATAATGGTTATAACTTTTTGTATAAAATTCCAAATGATAAATGGTTTAACTTTATGAAAATTAGACACCAAGATCTACAATATTCATGTTTTGTTCATCTCCCAATTCCTTATAGATTTTGAGATATAAGCTGGCAAAGTCAGTCCTGTGCAACAAATATTTCTTCTTCATTTTCCCGGATAGCCTGTAGTATACCAGCCATAACTTTTTTTACACAATTCCAAATTCTAAATGGTTTATTTTTCTGAAAACTAGACACAAAAGGCTACAACTTTCATTTTTAGATTATCTTCAAATTCATTATAGATTGCGAGATATGAGCATCCGAAATCAGACATGTGCA